CTTTCTGCATGAATCAAGAGGGTAAAATTAAGACACACTCTACACTAAGATATTGTCCCTGAAGGCCTGTGGAGGCAGTTTTAATTTCCTTAAGCACACACAACACAAGTTTCATACCTTTCTAATCCTTTCCTTTAGCCCAGATTTCATTCTTCTCACAAAAAGATAAAACCTTTATGCTTTACCCTGCCCCTGGTGCCAGCAGGCACTGGCAGCAGTGGTAGTGGTGTAGTGAAAGGTCTGTGGGACACATGGGTACCACCCTCTGAACACACCCAAATGCAGTTTTTTCAAAGGTGGCACCTTCCTCGAGTGCCATTGCTGCTGTTTCACTTGACAGAACTGTTCATTAAGGCAARGACACCGAGCTGCCAGGTGTTCCCAGGGGCACAGCTCCCAGGGTCTCCTGCTGCTGTCCTGCCAGCACTGGAATCAATGCCACTGCAGTTGTGTAAACACACAAAATACAAATTCTGAAAGGAAGCCGTCTAGGAAGGAAAAATGAAAAAATTTTCTTATGTATATATTGAAAAAAAAGCCGTTTTTTTCTTCCATATGAAGAAAGCGCTCTAGGGAAAGTAACCGATTTTGTGAAGTCTTTTGATTTTGATAATAATCTCCTTTGCTTTCTTTGGCAAACAAGGGTTCAGGCAATTTCAGTCAGTACATTTCTGACTGGTTTGGGTTGTATAAACAGGCTTTTGTAGGTCCACAGCCAAGAAGACTGATAGTAAGTGATCACTAGCATGATGCTAGAACAATACCCATCCATGTCTAAAAAGACGAGAGAGAAAAAACCCTGAAACGTGCTCATCTACAATGAAAATATCTTAATAAAGACCCAGCTACTTTTAGGCAAAATAGCCCTAAAGAAAATTTCCCAAGAAATTAGAGCTCTAGGGCTGGAAGAAGAGTCACAGGGCAAAGATGGCTTTTGAAAAGTAGTTGTTTTTTATTTAAATGGGAATGGAATGTTTGGAAAAGATGATGACAGATGACCTTCCTAACTTCTCAGAGGATCCACCAAAACAATAATTTGCTCATTTGACTGGTAATGAAAGAAACCAGAGTGGCACYTCTTGCTTTGGTAAAAAAAGGTCAGAATCTGCATTTCTCATATCTCTGGTGTCTGCCTGGACCCCAGAAGAGCTGTTGAGTTTGGGCATATCTGTGTTAATGTTCTTTTTCAGACCTTTCACAWAATATGGAACGAAAATAAGCATTTTCTTCCCACAAATCTTTTGCAAGGGAAAGTGAAACCAAAAGTTAAGAATGAGAGATGCATCATCTGAGATACACTCTGTTAATCAATGCTGACAGGTAAAATGCTGTAACCTTTCTGAAAAATCTGTTATCTGATTGGATCCTCATATTTCAACTTGATAAGCACTAATTACCAAGTTGCATCAATTTTGTTGCAAAGGAAGGCTTTTGCTATCACTTTTTGCTGGAAATCCCACAATTAGTGAAACTGAGAAGACCTTGTTAGGAGCCTTTATCACTGCAAGATTCCCTATCTGCTTCTGCCTGCTTTGCAAAACAAAAAAAAAGTATTTTGTTACATGGAGCTGCTGAAAAAAATGTGGGTGTACAGGATCTGGTGCAGCAATTGTTTGTGTGATTGTTCCACAGTAAAGAGGAGTAAAGACCAGGCCATGACAGTGGTCACTGTGAAAAAACCTTTTGCCCCAGTCACTGGCCAAAGTTTCAGCTGAACAATGTGCTCTGCATTTGCAAACACTGYTAAAACCAGGTTTCATTAACATCAATAAAACCTCCCCAGAATTGGCCAGAAAACTCCTTTATATTACAATTTTATGTAATTCAAGCAAATTGAATACTTCCCCTGAATATATTCTAAGATTAGAAGGTTTTTTGAGAAAGGAAGCAGAAAAAAAAGCTAAAATATTAGGGCAAACTTACATTAAATCCTCCCAGTACATCACAAGTAGCTGTCTAAACACTGTCCATTTAAGATCCCTAACAAAAAATACAGATATTTCTTTGCTGCTTTGTTACTGCATAGTAGCGAATACTACAACCAGACTATCTAGGACAAAATGTGAAAGCAGAATTCAGGCATGCTGTAGCATTCAATGTTTAGAAAATCCTTTGCCCTTGCAGTATTCATAATCCCATTATGTTAAATTTAGCTGGTCAAATTCTGCTCTTACTTGTCCTTCACATCTGTCAACTCAGAGCGTACAAGGCATACATCAAGGCAGCACAGGGAGAGATGTGATATTTGAAATACATTTCATCTTTCGAAAGCCATACTTTTTCCAATAACAAATGTTGAAACAAGAATCCCCAGGGTCATGCAATGTGTGTTCCTTCCCACTCAGCTAAAGATGATATAAAGGAGAGGAATGTTGTCATTTGGTTACGGCAGCGTAATGCGTAATGCGTAATGCGCATAGCAGCGTAACGCTCTCGCTATCGTTCTTCCAACACTTTGGACACTTTGTTTAACACAGAAATCAGCACAGGATCTGCTGAGGACAGCAGGCTGAGGGTCTGTGTCCCCCATGAGTGGTGGCTTTAGGCTGTGTGTGTCCCCAGCCCGCAGCACCGTGGCACACAGCAGCTGCACACATCAAAGGCAATAGAGACCAGCAGGCAGCTGCACAGGTTCAGCTGACAAAAGGATTCAACCCACACGGGCTTTGGGAAGTGGATGAGTTGCTTTTTTAATTATATAAATATATACTAATGTTATCTGTTTGCCTAACTTCTAGAGAAAAATACTAAAAATACTTGCAAACATACACATGGAGCTCTGATTCCTCAAGCATCCTACTGGAGTTCTAGAGGCTTAGCCCTACAAATATTATGAAAAAAATGCTCCAAAATCTCAGATAAAATTTTAAAGTTGTTTTCTTTGAGCAAATAGTTTGCAAGCAAGCAAACTTACTACAAATAGTATTTACTGTCATTAAAATGTCTTCATTTTCTTGTATGATGTACATGGAAAGAGAAATCACAGCTGGTCAGAGTGCCCAAAGTGAGAGAAGACACCTATGAAGGTGAATTAATTTTTTCCTCTAACCCTTTACAGCAGTGAGACAAAACAGAAAATCCAGTTTACASCTGTAGTGCACACACCGTGCATGTTTTGGAGGGGCACAAGATGCAGTACTTTGTGTRACAGAGGACACAAGTTATTAGCAGTGTTGTGACATGGAATGAGCACTTGTACGGACAGATGTAATGACTGTAGGGATTCATGTTGAAATTCTGTTTTCAGTGGTCAGAAAACRGGTAAGCTGTGAAAAATGGGACATATTCAACATTCAAACATACGTGCAAAAGACCAAAATCATTCCTTTTGAACTGTCTGACTGTATGTATACCCTGAGAAAATACAATCATTTTAGTTGAAACTCTCCAAAATATCATTCCAAAACTTTCTACAGCACTTCAAAAATTTCAGTACAGAAACAAAGAAGTAGGAATAACAAAATTGGCTGAACTTCAGCCTTTTGATCTCATTGCTTGTAACTAAAGGCTTTTCAAGGCTTTTTTTTGTTTCTTTAGGCTGGGCTTTTTAAAAGTTATTTAGCACCAAAACAGAACCTAGTGAAGCACTGTCACTCTTTTTTTTATTACTGGAAACAACTTTATATTTTAAAAAGTCCTAGAAAATCACAGATTTCCTTCACAGATATTTTGAGTCAAACAGCTGGTTCCATGTCCACTTAATCACAGGCACTTACACACCTGAACTTGCTTTGAGCTTGTCTGGTGAATTATTTCTGATTAATTTTCTTTGTTTTACACAAAGACATTGCCTCCCATCAAACAAAGCAATTAAATAGATGTTTGAGGCCAACACCTACACATATACATCCTTCCCATGTACAAGATTGGGGATATTACACTTCACTCTTCTGAAGCTGTTCAACACCTCACATTTGTTTGATGTGTTCAATGCTATCTTTGCACCACTGAGATTATAATTTTAAAATTAAATTTAAGAGCTAAAAGCATTAGGATAGTTCTATCAGCCATAACACCGGACTGTGCATGCCTGAAGCATTATATAYGATGTTGGACCCAAAGAAAATACCAATTGCTGTATTCAAAGGCTTGTTTCCCAGCCTGATTCCCACAAGAACCTCAACAAAAATTCATCAGTGATTTTTTCCACACTTTATTTTTCCATTTCTAATTGTTTATAATTCTTCATTGAGGCACTYTTAATTCAGCTACTCAATATAATATAAAATACATAATATTTTGCGAGAGACAGCTTCTGCAACTGCCTTTATACCTTTAGGCTTTGTGACTTGATGTCATAATGATCTTGATTTATTAGCAGATAAAACTTTTCCAATGTTTTTTCCTTTAAATAGTGAACTGTAAATAACCTATCCAATATGAAAAATGCTAAGTAGCTCCTTTGAAATTCTAATGGAGATTGTCTACAGCTATATCACCCACTGTAGAATCCTTGTGTTGATGCTTTAGCTGTATATATGGAAACATGTAGGAATGGAACCTGTTCTTCACCTTCCAAAACAGGAATGGAACCTGTTCTTCACCTTCCAAACCTGTTCTTCACCTTCACAACTTCAGAGGAAATATTGCCAGAAATGAAGCAGCTAATTCCCTGTATTTTCTGCTGTTTTACTGTGGGTGCTGATGGAGCTGAGCAGAGATGTTTAATGCAATGCTACTTGTGAGACACTGGATTACACTGGATAACAAAAAGGAAATAAATGAACTGAATTCTTAGCATACCACTAACTATTTATTGGATTGGACTGAATTCCTCTTTCTGGTTTTTAAAAATTACAGAAGAAACATCCTGAAAAGATGACAAAGATGCTACTCCTTAGCATCTCTTAATTGTATTTAGTAGCATCTCTTAACTGTATTTAGTCCGTGTTCAAAATGCCAACCCGTTTCTTTAAGTTCTCTTTCATGTCACCTGAGCTTTGCAGAGGTTTTGGACAGTGTTCCCAAACACAAACCAAGATAGTTTCTATTGCTTTTACCTTCAGGGCCACAATATGAGCAGCTTCTGGCACTCTRATGTTCTGTCACTTTTTAATGCAAACTCTGGAAATTCACGGACACAACGCTGCACAATCTGAGGAAGATAAATCACAGTTACTTCAAGCCAGTTGACAGCAGTTTAAGCAGCTGCAATCATCAACCACCAAGGGAGTTTCTTCTTTTATCTTACTAAATGCAAAAGTGTACCAGGAACTGGTAATATCAGTGGACTATCAGGAGTCCTGCTTTTACATAAATATCAGCAAGCGGTAAGTAAATTCTGTTGACGAAATGTAATAAAACAAAGACGGTTTCAAATATGACCATTCCCTGATGCATTCTGCAGCCCCGTCTTACTCACTTATTGCATGCTGCTGAGATTATAAGGTTTGCTTTTATCTGTCAGAAATCAATATTTCAAACATCGGATAAAAGAGGAAATTGAACTGGGAATAGGCTGAAGTGCTGTAAAAACTACAAAGCACAATTATCAAAAAGCACTTAAAGTACTTAATAGGACACACATATAAAAATGCTCAAATTAATGTCAGGGAACTATAATGAGAACTTTTTCTATGCTTTTTGATCCAAATGCAATGCAATTCGAGTGCAGCCTGGTCAGTCAATACAGTTTTCAATTTATATGAAACCCTAAGGATTTCTACCAATCCATTTGCTAGAACTGAACCATTACATATGATTGGTTAATATTTCAATTTATTGAAAATACATTATTTTGTGTAAAGTGTTTAAGTTGTTGAGGTTTAATCATTATAAACAGTTATGATAAAAATAGATCTTTGGGTAAACAAAGACCTTACAGTCAAGCTTTTAATAAATACTAGTATAACTAGAAAATTGGATTTTAAAAGGAATAGACATAAGGAAAAACTGCAGATATGGTGTGGTGAGATGAGAGGAAATTGTTGTATAGAACGGATCTTTACCAGCACACATTAAGCTGAGAAGAGACTTTGTAGAAGGTTGGAAACCATGGCTATTTTATGCAAAAAACTCCTCACTATTAACTTTAGTACTTTCCCCTCAGATTTATATATTCATTTATCATCTTTAATGCTACTGAGCTAGAAGGTCTTTACAAAACTATGCTAGATCAGAAATCACTRCAAATGAAAATGAACATGGCTATATGAACACACAGTATCCATGGAAAACAGACTGAGTGACTTCAGAAAATTTGATATTAAACAAAAAGAGCTGCAACACACAGAGGAGTTGTAGCTGTGATTTGAGCAACCAAGAARCACAGTAATTAAATGGGTGTAYCCTACTCTACCACTCYTTCCTAACCTACACCCCCCAAGAAACGATGGACTCCTGGAAATCTTTTTTTTTGTGGAAAGTTATTCTTAACACTTACACTTCACATTTATACTTTAACCATGATGCTTCTTTCATATGAGGGAACCTGAACTCCAGCACAATTAAAATGTGCTCCTTACAGGAACTACACCAAACTCCCTGAACTATGGACCCACTAACAAAGTGTTTCATTAGCCAAACCCCTTCCCACCACCTTTCCTCATTATAGGTTTGAGGCTAACACAGTAAAACCTCTTAGTTAATATCCCTACTTCTTTAAGTCTAATCTAAACTTTTGCCACCAGAATTGTAGTCCTACTTCTTGGCCAATTTTACGTGATGAAGAAGATGTTGTAGTATTCCCTTTTTGCAACAAATTTGATTATGTAAGCACAGTCATCACACAGGATCCTTCCAGCACACAGGTTCTGTGAGTAGTACAATCACACTCTGATTTAGACAGTTCATGACTTGTGCAATTCACCAAGTTAAACTGCACAACACACAGCCAAAATCTCCCTTCTGATAATTATGGTCTTGTGTATGGTAAGCAAAATATAGCATGATTTAAYTGAGGAAATGGGCAAAGATATTCCCTAAAAACAGTTTTCAAATTTGAAAACAACTTTGACAAGGCTAAAAATACATAGATTACTTCAGCTGTACTCACTCGAATAGTGTCCTGAATTTTCAGATTTCCTGAACTAACAGATGGGTTTTCTGTCTGATCAACACAATTATCACGGAGAATACAACCTTTTCCAAACAGTCCATATTTCCAAACAGAAAAGGTAATAAAAATGGCTTTGTTTTCTCTAAGGAGAAAACATCCTATCATCTGCAAAGGCAATTGTAGTTATGGCAGTCATAATTGCATAATGCACRTCACAGAAGATTCTTCTATTGCACATTATTGTATTTTTTCCTTCAATTATTAAATTCAGAGGCTTAACCTCAAAAGAAAATGCACTTGTCTTTACATACACTTGAATTGTTACTGCCATTTAGAACTAATCAATGTTTTCTTTAGTACCATAATAGCTTATTTGCAAAGCACCTCTTTAAGAAATATTTACAGGGTGTTCTGGAAGTAAACATGTTTCACATTCTAGGAAAAACTCCCAATAAAGAGAAAGAGGGCTTCATTCTCATCTCAAAGTTCAGTGCAACTAAAGTGACTTAAAGAGCTTAAAAATTTGTGCATAAAGGGAGCTGCTACTAGATTATACTCCTACATTCATAAACAATGCAAAGAAAAGCTATGCATCGTACACAACCCCTGTATCCCTAGAGAAGTCCAGGAAATTAATTTTCAAAGGCTCAATAGATAAATATATACTTTCATTAAATTTAACAGGAAAGGAAATGGTTAAAATCTTATTATTAACCTGACTTGGACCTTCAACTGCATAAAACTCATTGGGCTCCAAAGGTCTCATTGAGTGGTGGAAAGCCCAAACTACCCCAGTAAAGAACATGCACTCAGAGTGCAGTTTGACACAAACAGGAATGTTCACACCACTTTCCTCTGGGAAAATAAGGGACATTTTTTCGTCTCCATAGACTTCTTCAGAAAAAGCTCAGAGAAACCAAGTTAAGTAACRTGAGTACCCTTAATGTCTCAAGATCTGAAGTTATTTAAAAAAAGAGAGGTTTTAATGAAGGAAAAACACAAAATTCAGAAGCAGGCTTTTTTAACTTCCAAATGTAAACATCTGCTGTTTTAATAAGCAGATCAACCCCAGTTCAGGCTATGCCTATATTTAAATACATCAAACCCATTGATTCCAGTGGGGTAGCAAATTTATCACTACGATGAAAGGTGTAAACCCCAAGCTAACAGGGGACCAAGCTTTGCTAGAAGGAAGAACCAGAATTACAATTGAAAGYACTGGACACAGGGACTGCCACAAAGTAATGCAATGACCTGTGCCAAGGCAGCCATGTTATATACAATATTATTTCCTGCACAAATTTTAAACTGTATTTTTCAGTATGTTTGTATCCATGAATTTGGAGCCTATTATCTTTATAATCTGCAACAAACAGCCAATATTTTGCAATTTTCAATGTTGAAAATTTAATAGAGGGGGCAGAATAATTTTATATTTTATCAGTTTATTGTATCTAACTGCTAATAATATGTAGCATCTATCACATATTGCAAGTACTCTAGCATTATAGAAATTAGTTCATTCCCTTATTTCCTCTTATTAACCAAGATCATCTTTCCAACTGGTGTTTAATTCAATATTTTAAGGATCATTATGAATTATACAAACTCCTCACAGTTCTCMCTGCTAATCATAAGCATTTCATTCAATGGTGCTATCAATCCGAAATTTGCCATCCAGTTTTACTACAAAGCCTTTTTAGAATAGGTATTGAAAAAAAAGCCCCAGATCACCCAACAAAACCTCCTCCATTTCCAAAAGAGAATTTCCTAATTAAATTAATACAAAACATAAAATAATCAAGAATTTACTTAAAAGGTTAAAATAGTGTGATTGAAAAATGAACACCAGGATTTTTCCATTCCCTTTCACTTGAGTTAWAATAAAGGCAGGTCAAAATTATGGATTATTCCCTGTCTTTAAGCAAGGCAGAAGGTGGTGAGACGTGTTGGGTAGAGGCACAGTAATAATGGATTATGCAGATTCTTCTCTCCTGGGTCACTGTTATGAATCTGATCCAAGACAGCAATGATGAAATGTCAGTGCCATTTTATGGCTTTTAGCATGAAATCTTGACCCTATGAGGTCAATGGCAAAACATCAGTAGTGCCAGGATTTTCACCTTTTGAATCTCTAAGATGCAGAAAGAATTAAGGTCTGACTCAGCAGCCATYGACTTTAATGGGAGTTATACCAAGTTCAAGGTGCAGGTTTTTAGAAGTCCTTAGGTGCTGCTTTGCTTGTGCTTTAATAAGAGCTGGATCCTTCAGATGACTCAAACACTTAAAACTGTAGCATTAAAACTATAAACTTTTATCTTTAAAGGTAAATGGCCTGATGACTCTAATCCCCTTGCTGCAGTGTCTGGATTACTCCGCTCCACTGGACTGAGCACTGGATAAGGGCTTCTTTCACCACGTGTTCACTTCYCTTGCTTCTTCCTCTGAAAGCAAAATCCTCCTCCCAGATGAYACGAGGCTCAAAACCTCTTGGATCACCACGATGTGGCCCTCAAGAAATCTGGCAGAGACAGTGGCTTCTGCTATGCATCCTGTCTGGTCAACCTGCAGTCAATTCCCATAAACTACAAAATGTGAGGTCTTGGGAGTACAGGATTAGTAAACCTTTGTATCAAAATGACTAAATTAACAAAGCAGGAGAAGTCATCAAACATGCTTTTTGGAGTGATTAATTAAAAGAAAATCCTTATCAATTCCCTGAAAACAGGCAGAGTGGCTTGCTATTTGATTTAATTTGCTTTGATAGAGGATGTTTTGCAGGAAGGACATTACCAGCCATTTCAAACCAGCAGTTGCAGGAACCTAACTCTTAAGCCTTGCTACTCTGCAGGCTTCAAGAGGCATGATCGTGAAAAGGAAATAAGAATAGAATCCAAATGAGCTGTCTAATTTTAWATGTTTATCCAAAATGGAAACAAATTTACAATACTAAATTATTGGATCTTGCCCACCCAAAAATACTAAGGCACACAAACATAAAAATTATGTCTTGCTATAGCATATTCTTTCCAGATATATTTCAYGYRCACAGTTCAGGCRTGTGCTCCTAAAAGTATTTAGCTATGCTGAAAACCACC